CCTACCTTGCTACTTACTTCACATAAATCCTTCTTCCGTAGTTCATGAGAGCCACCCAAGACAAGCGGACATGTCCCATTTGCCTCGAGAGCCCGTTAGAACCAGCTTCCTTCCCGTAGGGATTAAGGGAGAACTTCGAGTGGCAAGGAAACGCTCAACTTGTACAAAACACTGCTCGGGAAACACGGGTCGCTACGACCACCCAAATCCAGGGGCTCTCCACATCTTACTCGAGGTCTCTGTCCCGAGAAGTCTTTCACACATGGGACCTAGCTTGTGTTACTCTTTCATGATCACACCGATACCTGATGCCAGCACCGCTGCTGAGGAACAGACAAATGTTGAAAATGCAAAGAACAGTCTGTAAATAGCAAACCCCCTGCCTGAGGTCAGGTAAGGCACAAAGCCACAAGGAGATCCCTTTTCATTGGGCTCCGACTGCGACACTACCTCCTCTCCCAGCCTGGCACCTAAGGTGGTCTGTGCCACCAATCCAGCAGACCCGGCTACCTCAGACGACTGAGCTAAGTAAACAAGCAGGACGATGCTAGAGAAATACAGTGGTTTAAGGACTGGGACATGGCGGGGCCAGCAGTAGTCCTGAAGGTCTGAAAACAGGTAAGTTGGGGGCCCTTATTTTCCAAGAGGTAGAAATCTGGCCAGGAAGACAGAGACTACTACTAGAGTTAGCCCAGAACCAAAGAACTAAAAGCAAAGCAGGCCTAAATTTGGGATTCTACTCGCCGAGAAATTTCTGCTTCGGCTCCTGACTGATAGCTTTGTTTTCTCACTGCAGAGGCAGAGCCCAAATTCAGCCCAAAGAAGTACTTCCAAGGCTTCAGACCTGGTAGAAACAGCGATCCTTGGGCTTTCATGGTAGGACACGTCCGCCGCAGTGCAGCAAGGCAGAGAAAGGGACGCAGAAGGGCTCTCCAGCAAGCACAACTCTCATTCTGTAGCTCCTCCAGGCTGTATCTCATGAAAGCCCAGGAAGGAGCCCATCAGAAAACCAGGCAAGTTTCCAGTTAAATCCTACCTATAGATCAATGACCTTTTTTCTTCTTTTTTTTTCCCCCTTTCTTTTTATTTTTTCTTTTTTTAAACAAAGTCTTTGCACAACACTTTTCCAGCTCAAGAAATGCAGTGCCATTCCCAACATCCAGGTGCACAGCCAGGGGAGGGAAGTCTACCAGAACTGGGGCAGCCTCCTGTTTTGGAGGAGATGGAGCGTATTACCAGCTCCCATAGCCTTGCACAACTTAAAAGCTACAAACTCCCTGGAAAGCGAGCTCCCAGATCAGCACACATTCGGGTCAGAAGGTGTTTATAGACCGAGAGCTCCTCAGTCCGGTGGGTATTTCCCTCCTGTTGGGACCGATTCCGATCCAGCGGAACCACGGCACGCTCCTACCTCTCAAACTCAAGAGTTGCCTCTGTCCAGCATGCTGCAGGTAGAGAGAACATCTTCCTTTTGAACACACTACCTCGTTCTGATTTCCCTCTGACAGCGCCTCACCATTTCCACTCCAAGAACATTTCTGTTTCCTCCTCTCCCCATCTAAATCACAATTTTCAGTTTCCTCCTATTTTCTTGTACTGTGTTTCACTTGTCCCTGCCCAGCTTTGCAGTTTGACACATAATAGATTGACTAATGAAATACATGAAAGATTTTCTTCTTGTGTTCTAAACAACCTCAGTCTTTTCTCAAACTTCACTGTATTAGCTGACTTTTCATCTCTGGAGTCCAATCGGTTCGTATGAGTGCTGCTCTGACTCCTGATAATAAAAATAAATACAAGGAAGGCAGGAAATCCAATGCAAGACATGGAAAAATAGGACAAAGAATACAAAGTTTTTACTCGGTCATCGCCTGCATGGAGCACATTTATGAAGGAGAAAGAGTCAAGCCTGCAGGTTGGGCAAATGCATGAATAAAAATGACTGGCCATATAAACCCAGTACCGGACAGCATGAAACTACCCTTCTGCTAGAACCAAAGAGAACATGGAAAAGTGGAGTCAAGCCTTTTCCTGACTCTTTGCCAAGGTACGATGCTACAGCCATTCCCACCCAAGGAACGCAGCAAACCTGGAATTGCCTTCAGAAAGTGTCATAAAGCCGTAGTGAAGACGAAAGTGTTTGGACTTCAACACTCATCACTATCCAGCCTTTGAAGATTGACCAAGCTCAGCAAGTCTCAGATAAATATGTCTTTTAACATCCAAGCTAAAGAACCAAAATACTCAAGGATCATAATTATAAAGGTCTCACCAGGACCAGAAGAGTCCTCATGTCTAGAAGGGAAAACTAAAACAGACACTACTACTGCTTCACCATGATAAACGGGAACACAGAAAGTAACAGTGAACATGATGGATGTTTTCAAATCCATCTTACTTAAATTATGATTTTAAATTAGTCTAAGGAAACATCACCAATATATAACTCGGACTTCTGGTAAGAGGCTCCATCTAAACACTGCATCATAAATTATAAACAAGCACAAGAGTATGGGTTATCAAATGCTCTACATGAGTAATTTTTATCCAAATTAATCACGGCTATAAGCCCAAGTAAGGAAAGAAAGAGGAATTAATGGGAGAAAGACCTGTAGCATTTATTTGATTTCTGAGAAAAGAAAGTACCCCTCAGTAACACTCATAAAGATGGGTTTCTCCAGTAGAGTTTTGTAAGGAATAAGTTTATAGTGGGGGGGGGTGTGTGTTAATAACTGAGAGGACCCAGAATGATAAGCGAAAATGAGCTAGTGAGCCTGCTCTCATAACCATAATCCAACCCATTCGATAACGTCTTCTTCCATTTCCATTACTTCATCAGCACTCATTGCATTATGTCTAAACATAGACTATAAACTCTTCATAATTTTGTTTGCAAAGCATTATGCATATTTACAGAGCTATCTAAATAATCTTAAATTAAGTTTCAAGATCAACCGAAGACTGGGGGAGAGCCAAGCATGCCCTTGTACAGAGGGCTGCCAGAAGGGCAGGGATAAGCTAAAGTGCCCAAAAGACGCCAACGCTGTCTTTGGCACACATTTGTTTTAGAAGACAAGAATCAAGAACTGAGGGATAGAGTTTGGACCAACAATTAGAAACGTCTGGAAAATTCAAGAAAGGGATAGTGATAGTATATCATCATCAGATGTATCAAATGAAGGGCCATCTGAGTACCAAGCCATGTTCAGTACTCCAAACCCTGGTAGAAACAGTTCTGCCCATAAATCACACCCCCAAATCCTCTCCAAAGAATGTGAAGAGGCTGAGCAGGAGGTAAGTGTGTGCTGATTTTGATGGTGTCCTGTTGTTACAGCGTTTTTCAAGGGACAACACTGAACAAAACATCCAAAATCAGCTGCACGGCAAAAATACTGAGCATGCCTCTGATGTGGTGGTGTTTCAGGAAGCAAGCACAGAGCTGTACAGTGAAAAGCCTCTGCATTTTACTGTGAAAAAAATACTATTTAACTATTATTTTAAACCAGTTTTTTATTAGTGGTAGAACAGATTCTGCACCCCATCCAAGTGCTCTCTGTATTCAAATGGAGAACTGTAAAACCTAAATCTCTCCATGTAATGCTGAGGGTGGAAACGTGTAATTTGCTTTGGCGTCCCCCACTGACTACATAATGCAAACTACCATTTGCATGTGCAAAATGCAAAAATATTGAAAACGGAAGGAATTAACCTGTGCCTTGAGAAAGGACTTAACCTTAGAAGGACAGAACATTAAAGGTGTTTTGGGAACCCAGTGAAGAACGTTTGCAGCTCTATAGCATTAAGAGTTTGGCAGGAAACCCTTAAAGGATGGCTTACTGCCTTGAAAATATTTGTTTAAAAGAATAATTTCAGAAATGAATTTAGCATGTGCACGTACATATAAACACACAAGCTGTTCACAACCTGTAGTTTTCCCATATTTGCTCAGAAGATACGGGCAAGTGAGCAATCTCCATCCCCCTAGGTGCTATCTGGCCAAAACGCTTGTGAGTCTGCCAGAGGGCTCTGATAAGGAGCAAGAAGAATTTTATAAGCATCTATCCATTTGCATTGTACCAAATCAAACTGGGAATTCGCTTGTGCATTAGCCAAATTAAAATGGTGACATTTGCCTCAGAACTCATTACCAGTCGGTCTCAGAAGAGGGACGCTGTAGTAGATGGACACGAGGTGTGATCAAGCTTAGTAACTCCTACAGATGAACATGCGTTTCCTTTAAAAAAAACCCCACATATGTAAAATATGCCCAATTTGACATGAGAGGAGTTGGAGAACTTGGAAAGAGTCAGATACACAATGCAAATAGCTGCCATTTTTGAGAAGCAGAGTTGCAGACTGGCAACACCTATCCCGCTAAAAGATTTTCAGAAACCTGCTGGCTCCCAAGAACAACAGAATATCCACTGCTCTCATGTTCCACCAGGAAAACAAAACCCAGCCACCACACACATCCTGCGACAACTCAGCTGTGCTGAGCCGCAGGTGCTGCACCCTGAGCACAGGACAGGAAAACATCATTTTCTATTATACAACGCCTTGCTTCTGCAGAGACCCCATGTCCTTTATCTGCATTTATAAGCTTGTCCTCACAACACCCCAAAAGGTAGTGAGCCATGACCGTATTCTCCTTGTTTTACAGTCATTTCCCATTTCCATAACACCCATCCTTCTGTTAAGTCCCTAATTTATATTGCAAAGCATTGGTATGGCTGCAAAGCCAAAGAACTATATTTAGGGGAGGTTTATTCCAACGGATCGCAGTGCAAGGTTAACAGCTTTCACCCTCTTTCTTTATATAGGGAGGCACACAAATCTTGTCGGAAATGTTCCAGGCAAAAGTAGTCCACGCAATTTTTCAACAACTGTATTTAGACAACGCCTTTAACCTCTTCCTTTGAAACAATTTTTCCCACGAAATAAAGTTTTCATCTCTGTATGTGCTGAAAAAAGGAAATAAATATTATCTTTTTAAACCATACCTTCCATGACATACACCAGGGAACCCACATCTCCTTCCTTGATGATGCAGCTGTCTTTGCCATACTCCACGGGATACATACAATCCACAATCTCCTGGATCTGAGACAGTTCCAGATTCTTCATGAAGTCATTGTCAAGGATCGCCTCCTTTATTAGCTCCTTGGACCTGCGGCAAACAAAAGACAAGGCTTATCCACGGGTCCATCAGCCGAGCTCATTAATAGCACGTGAACTTTAGCACAACCGCGCATGCCCTAATGAGTGTTTCCTTGGAAAAAGATTTCAATGCTTTCCCTAAAAATCTGATAAAGTCCATCTGCAGGGAAGTAAAAAAAATTGCAGAAATGTTAACTTGCAATTATTTTTTGTAAATAAGTTTTAGATACAACAAGTATTGAAATAAAAATAGATTTCATGTGATGGCGAGATCCTCTTCTATCTCCAAGTTTCATATCTATAACACCACCAAAGAATAACATAGCTACTTGAAATACCTTCCAGGTACAAAACCGAAAGGAAATACAAACAAGAAGTTAAAGGATTTATGTCTTAGTTTATTTTATTTTCTATTGAATTACACAGACTGGAGCACACAGAAGTGCACTACTGTTCCGATTCTTTGCATATTAATCAAATACCAAAGGCCATTATATTCACTAGCGGAGGCATCACTGTTACAGGAATAACGCCACCATTAATTCAGTGCTTTGACGACTAAGTGGTAAATTCCAAAGTTATATTAGCATGCATAGAACTATACATGCGGGTTTGGTTTGGCATGCCATCGGGTTGGAAGTCTGGAGTTCTTAGTGGCCACTTTGCGAAGTTGAGCAAGGAAGGAGTTGTTTCTGAAGATACAGATTTCAGAACTCAGAGTTCACGCGTTCTCTGGGAGACCACCCAAATGGGTATGAATGCAACCTGCTGTCTCTACAAGCGCCTCTGCCAGTGTCATGTTATGACAGAAAATGCGCAACAAAAACCACTGACGTGTTCTCCCTGACTTCCCAGAGATATCTGCAATTTCTACAACTGAAGTGCTCACTGCGCCGTGAGTCACGCTTAGGTGAACCCTCCAATCTTCCCTTCAGACTGTCAAGTTCAACTTCATCCATCTGCTAACACAGTGTAACCACCATGGTATGACATTTTGCAAAAAACTCCTAAAGCAACCTGTGCAAATGAACAACTGAGAATGCTAGGTCTAGATCTAGACCAAAACTAAAGCCCCCAAAACACCTACAGGCTGGACACCAGGTCCTCAGCCCTTCATTTCTGCAGCTCCACTTCTGTGGCTGAACTATTTGCTGATGTGAACGTAGCCCAGGCAGGTGACAGCTACCTGCAGAGCTTATGCATTCCAAAGAATTTTATTTTTTTAAAATACGAATATGAAACAAGGTTTTCAGAGAAAGATGTATTAACGGATCGTGTCTTCCTGAAAAAGAGCCAAATTGGGACTTCAAATGACCAAAAGCAGCCAGCCAGCCTTGGAGATACTCCGCCTGTGCTATAGTCCTTTTAAAATATACCTCAAGATTATATGCGGCACGGATTCAATTCATTACCACGTGAGGTGCTTCTTAGGCTTTTGATAGTTTTGAGGTTATTTCAACAAAACGTGCTGCTTTCCAGCAGAGCCCATCGCTCCTGACGCAGCTGAAGCGCAGGACGGGAAGCTGACCAGGCTTTTCAGGCACTGCCGTGCAAGACGACACAGACTGGGACTGCTACAAAACTCTCCTGCTCTTGAGAAATTCCATTTGACATTGCATACTGTCACCCCCATCCCTTGTGCATGCAAAGAAAAACCACCAGGAAAACCTACATCTGGGTGGCTTCTTGCTTTCAGGAATGCAGAAACTGGTAATCTCTAAGGTCGACCAGATGACAGCTATCCTGCTTTCCTCCTTCCCTCCTCCCGCGCGAGAGCAAGACTACGCTTTTGATGCTGTGCCTTGACTCAGTACTGCTCTTTTGGTCTCAGCCACCCCCACAGGTCCCCCAGATCCTCCTAACAAAGCCCTAATTATTAGCATTACTCAAACTGCCTGCCGAAGAAGCAAGCATAATAAAAGCATTAGTCATATCAACTAGAAGGACAATTTCAGCCATTTATTTCATTCTAAGGCGCAAAATGAGGCGCTCTCTTTGATCAAATAAAGCCCGCCTTTCAAGAGGAGTGTTTGTAAGAACACCCACAAGATTGCAGAGGGAATTCAGACCTGGCTCAAGTCAGACCTCCCCTGTTAATTTAGAGGCCCTCAGCAAAAACAACGCTTTTCTTGTCGGAACCAAGCACAGCCCAGGATTCGAGCAGGATACAGGAAACTTGATCTAAACAACAGTGAAGGAGCAGCACAGGGGCTAGGAAAATCCTGTAGAAGTCTGGTTTGGGGAGAAGCAGCAAAACATACACAATATGAACAAACTTTGGGAATTTATGAGCTTAATTGTGTTATTTCAGTCTGAGAGTGCATCTGAACCAACCGATTCACGGCCTCTGCCCTTCCACACAGAAACATCACAGAAACTAAAGCCCAGATGCCCACCAAGTCATTCCCACCCTTTAACGACAATACAAAATACATCCATTAAGAGGAAAAACACGCCAGCCGGGACATCAATAACGCCATTTCATCTCTGCCACATCTAAGCATCTTAAAATTAAATATCTCCATAGAATGGTCTGGATAATAACTCAGTCACGCTTGAATGTAACCAGAATAGATATTATTATTTAAGGATAATTAGTTAAAATGAGACTTGAGATACAAAGAGCTTCCCATACAAAAGGCAGCTCCGGCTGCCCACAAACAGTGCTGGCTGTAGGAACAAGCCCCGTGCGCCCCGACCGCACATTTGTGAGCGTATTTGCG